TTTCTTAGCAATGTTATTCAGAATGGTGAAAAGGTATTAAATATTATGTTTTTCCAGTGTCTTGTTTGGAGGAATAATACTGTACTTCTGCATTCAAACTTAAACAATGAGTTCCTAGTCAAACTACTAATTTGTGTACACTAACTCAGCTGTATGTCTGAATCTAAGTATACATTTGGTCTGTACATACAAGTTTATGCTTTAATTTTATAAAGTCTGATACCATGCTTGAATTTTATTTGTCTTAATGTTCCCTAAGAGAGAAACAGCATAGGAGAAAACCTTTGTCTTGTGTCCTAATGCATTACTGGTAGGAGGAAGGTACATATCTATTGATATTTACACATGCAAACATACTTCTGTAGAGCTCTTTTACCCTGCTGTTTGAAAATTTTACCATTGGAATCTCTAAAGTACTTAGTCTTTCAATTCCACGCTGAGTTCAACTGGCTTATGGGCCCAGGTTCATATGCAGAGACATGTAATTCAGAAGCAGAAATTAACTTGACAGGTAAGGGAAGCAAAGTGCAAAAGATCATAGGGTGAATAGGACTCAATCCTGAGTATACTGGTGTGGAGCTTTTTCTTCTGTTCACTCTTCTGTGGTACGTTTCTAAACATCCTATTGCAGCACCTGTGGTCTGAAAAATCAGCAATAAAATCAGTTTGATTTGAATGTGATAACAGCAGCAGTATTGCTAAAGTTAAACAAAAAGTCCCATTTTCAGTGAGGTGAAAATAAGTCTGGTTTGCATTAGAGAAAGTAGTTCCTACTTCTTGCTGTGGGAGTTAAGCAGTATTGGATTTTTTTTCTGGCAGGTAGTGGTGAAGAGGTCACACCATGAGTGTATCACATTAAAAAACATTAGTTTCAGAATTCCACAGTATCTGATTTCTCTTCACCATCCATAAAATGGCAGAACGGTGTTGTCTTTCCCAACAAGCGAATAGGAAGGATGTTGTAAATTTTTCATATAAACATTAACTTTGAATGTTGGTATTACTAAGTGTCACCAGTCAAGATCGACACTCCTACTGATGACAGCATTGGAATTTTACTAAAATAATGTCTCTTGAGACAAGGGATAAGAGCTCAGGAATTACACTGAGTTGTTCAGTACCTTATTGGGTGACCTCAGATTCTGGTATCAACAGATCAATGTCTTACTGCCACACAATCTTTTCACCTTAGTGGGAAAGCTGTCCTCGTTTCACATTGCTGCAGTCACTGTAAAGTTTTGTTTTTCAAAACAAGTTTGAATTCATTTGATGCACAGCTTTTTGGAGTACTTTGAGACACAAGTTAATGGGAGCGTATTAACTGCATTATGGTAAATGATGAGAAACCAATAGGAAGTTTTCCCTCCTCCTTAGTTTGCTATTTTCAAAGATAGGGATAGGTTGAATGGATTTTCACATTACATTACATTTTATGTAAATATGCTATGATCATCATTTATGAAGATAGACTGTTTTTAGAGCATTCAGGCAAAATATTGAAACTCAGTGCAAGAGGAAAGCAAGAACAGATCACTACATGACTCTGCAATTGGGCCTGAAGAAGCCTATGTAGAAAACCAAATAGACTCAAACTGAGAAAAAAAAAAACAAGCTGCAAGAAGCAGTAGCAAAGGATTTAAATCGGGTGAGATTACAAGTGCTTTGGAAGGTTCTGCTGTAGATTCCGACTTGCCACCCCTTTTCAACTAAATGTATCTTTACCCCATGCACTGACATGACCCTTTATTCAACCTCATCTTGGATGACATTTATGCTACCTTCCAGGAAAGGAACTGGTTTTTTGCAGCTCCCTCTCTTATTCGTTTTGAGAAAAGGATTAAATACTTCTCTGACCAAGCATACAGGCATGCTAAAGTGAAGCCACTTCATGCTCCTGGCCAAACAAAGAACACAAATACCTACAATAAGCAAAAGCAGATGGCTCCGGTGGCAGGAAATAAATGAGCCAGACTGCAGGTAAAATGGTTCTCTGAACACATCGCGGAGGTTTGTCATGACAGGTTCTTTGTTATCTGGGGCCCCCCCACAGGAGGCCATATGTGTTCTGTAGTGAAAGCAGATAGATAGAGATGCTCTTCCTTTTCCTCCCCCTTTAACTTATGGCTGTTTAAGTTACTGCTAATGGAAGCAGAAGACTGTTTTCTCCCTTGCTCTCTAATGTTTTTGGAAACAGAAGAGATAGTCAGTGAAGGGGTACTCTGATATGAAAGAAAAGGCCAAGAACTGGCCTTTACCTCCCCATGACCCTCATATGAAAGAACAGGGAGTTCAGTGCTGCTAATTGCACTTGAAAGGATTAACCACTTGATCGCTTTCATTCGGTGGAACAAAATTATTCTTTAGTCTCAAAGCTGGAAAAATGTATTAGCTGCATTGAGACATTTTCAATGTGAGGTAGATGATTTTGTTGGTTTGGTTTCTTATATCAGTACTAAAATTAAATAGAAGATTTAAATACTCTTACAGAGGGCAGAGTAGGAGATAGGGGAAGTACATTTGCTGCTCAGACAGAACAGATTTGCAGCAAAAGTGACAATAGCCTCCTTCCTGCCCTCACAAAAGGTTATCACAGTAATATCAACAGACCATAATTAATTACAAATATTAGGTGTGCCTGTGTCACTTGGTATAAGAATGTCTCTGGCATTACACTGAGGTTGCACTGGAAGAGAGAGAATCTGAAGCAAATTCCTGGACACAGTGTTCCAGATTTAAAATCGTTTCTGTACAGCGATTTCACCTGAGAATTAAAATTAATTTACTTTTGGAACAGATTCTTAATTCCCATTGTTCAAATAAAGTGAGGTACAAAAACCTTAAATTTGGAAAGCATTTTTAACCTTATGAAACTATTTTCCAAAAGTAACAAAGAACAGCTTATATAAGCTTTTTATCTGACCTCTGCTTCTTAAATAAAAAAAACATGTTTTCAGGGAAATGTGTCTTGAAAGTAAATTCCCCTCCCCCCCCTCCTGATTTTTCTCTCTGGTTCTTGTAAAACATTAGGTCAGTGAGTTCATATTATTTTTGTTTGTTTAAAGTGGGTGAAAGTTTCCTTCTCAAACTATCATTTCTTGTGTGATTTAAAAAAAAATAAAATTACAACAATCTTTGTTTAAGAAAGACCAGAACAGATGGAAATGTCTAAATTCATAGCAAAGGAAACAGTATTAATCATTGTAAAAAGCCAAAATAACCTCTCAATAGCACTGAGACACAAGTGCTAATTTTTCTCATTGCCTGGCATGTGAACTCAATGCATATGTATATTTAAAATGATCTTTCTCATTCTGACTTCAAGCCTGTGCTTCTCACGGTGCTGTTCACGCGCGCCTCATGTGCCCTTGTGTGACTTAACTAGCGTTTCTTTTTCCAGAGGAAGGAAATGTGTTTTGGCTGTCCACTGAAATACATTTTTATATACATTCACTTGTGCAGAGAAGCAAACAAATCTGAAGAGAAGTCTGACTTGCAGAGGAAGTGTTCTAAGCAATATTAACTTTGATTTCAGTACCCTGAAACTTTAAAAACAAAAGCTGTTTGAGCCTGTATGGATCGCTGTGTAAGCGTAAACAGATTTTCTTGAAGTATTTTTCAAGGCACTGTTTTGATGTTTACCAGGGTGTGAGAAAGCACTTCTGGAGAGTATGCTACAGGCAGATTTTTAAAGGACAATATGCAACAAAAACCTTGAACTTTTGTTTAAAAAATAATAAAATTTTTCAATCTGTTTCACTTCACCAAGATTTAGCATACGGAATACACTTCTGAGAATATTCAGAAATATTTGTCCATCTTACATTGTACCTCAAATGAAACATTTTTTCTACCTTAAGACTATAAATTTTTTACCATTGTGAATTTTTCTGGCAGAGCATCCTAGTAGGATAAAAATGTGTATAACTCTTGCCTATGAAGATACAGCTTGGGCCTATTACCCCTGTCAATCAGCTGTACTGATGCAGCTTGGCAAAGGCACACCTGTGTAACAACAGTCCCATGGGACGACACTGCCAGCAGTTCTACACAGACCAGCAAGAACTTCATCAAAGTCTTATTCATGCTGTTCAAATTTGCACTGTTACTGCAAAAGAAAAACCACAGCAGATTCATAGTCTGCATAATTTAAGGAAGTCTTTACTTTGTCTTAGGTCCTGCAAAAAGACCTACATTTTCAGACAATTCCTACAGCACGATGAGCCTCTTCTGCTGCACAGGAATGTGGCATCTACAAAATTTGACTACTATATGCTATAGTGACATTTGTTAAGTTAGCATTCCCAAAAATAATAATGATATTTTATAATAATAATAAACACTTCATGTTTGAAGAAGTCTAAAATTATCCAAGAAGTTGAGAATAATTTTCATATACCTGTATGTGAATGGTCCTATAGAAATCATTCATTGTATGATGACGTTTAAAGAGATTGCTATTTTCTATTACTGGGACAATTTTCCATAATGAATCTTGAAAGTACATAATTTATACTCTATTCACTTAATGTGGTCTTTCATTTTGTACTGGTCCTCATCCTCCCCCCATTAAATACCGTCCTAACATTTTCAATTAGCTTCTGATGTCATGAAAGTGAAATCAGCATTACCAAGTAAAACACAAAGAAAGCACCTGAAACAAAGTATTAATAATAATAAAAAGCTAGCATGGTAATTCCTTTTTAGAGTTAGAGGGATCGCTCCTTATGGCAATAGGAGCCAGGTCCTCCTATACCCACCTTGTGAAATAGTCTCGCTGTGATGAGTGTATCAGGTCTGTAAGTTCAAACACAACAATATTTAGCAAAGCTGTACTGTTTTCACGTAAGTAATTCTAATGAGACACCTTAGCTGAGTAGTTCCACAGCCTCAAGTGTGCAGAACATGAGGTCTGCAGCTTCCTTTTGGGCAAACACTGTAGCCATCAGAGTACAATCTACTTGAAGATTTCAGTTAGATAAAAATAGTTATGTTTGTGTAGCTTATCATTAGGAAAGGAACAAAATAAAACGTGATGTTACTTACCTATAGACAGACGTCTTACTCTTTTCCTGCACAACACTTTGCATTTTTAATCAATGTGTACATAAACGTGAAGAAAAAAAGCAGATTATCATACTGTCCTTTGTAGTTCTCATTCGAAATCTCCTGATGGTAGTCCACTAGGAAATAGTAAATTGCTTCTATTGTGGAAAGGTATGTATCTGGCTTTCCCTTCTGATGACGCCAGAAGCACGTTTTCCTTGTCTTCAACTCAATTTGCAGCAACCCTGTCAAGAAAAAAAAAGGTGACACAGATCAGACAACGTGGAGTGGTGGATGGAATGCCAAATGAGTCGTTAGTTTTGTCTTCTGACTTCACTGCTAGCTTGCTAGATGCCTGCATACACGTAATTTATCTTCCTGTACCTCTATTTTTCATCTGTAAAATGAAGGCAATAATTTTGTCCTCCTTTGTGGACCACTTTGAAATTTGAAAAAGTGATGTAAATTCTAGGTTACAATCCTCATACTTGCAATTAAAACTCAGAGTTTATCCTTTCCTTCATATAGCCTCCCAGCCCTTGATAAACTGCAGGATTTCTTCAGGTGGGAAGAGTGATACCCACACCTACAAAGACTCATCAATGTTCATAAAATTATTAATAAACTTGATATTTTGCAAAGTTGATACCTTTCAAGTGTAAAACAATCCATCAGACTATTAGTTTTGCTGAACTGAGGAATATTTAAGAGCCAGTAACTGCAATCTCACTGGGATTACTCAGGAGTATGAGAGAATCTGGTCATTAATTTTATTAGAAACTAAAAGCATTCCCACTTGAGATTAAAGAAAGAAATTTGGTGTCTATGGCACAGGAAAATCTTTTATCTGCTACAGTTGTTTTATTATTCAGATTAATTTTAAACATGTACCTTTGGTTTTTATGTTCCTTAAGATGGAGAAACTACTTAAAATTAAAATCACTTTAATGTGTAATCACTTTGTAAACAGGACGAAAGTTGGATTATAAAGAACAGCATATACACCTGTCAAGATTAAGCGGATCAGGTTGTAAATTTATCTTTTCCTAAACGCTGAAATCAGATACTAATTGTTTGTCATGGGATGGTTTACTACAAGTAATAGTGTAAATAACAGTATGTTTTAAGAATTGCTTGGAAGCTATGGACAGAAGTTTGGACAATAGCTTCAGTAAGGTCCAAATTTATGAGCACGAACTGGCTTATAGCCCAGCACTTAGAATTCTATACTTTTTACCTTCAAACTGTTTAATTATTTGTAGTATAACTACCAGATGGATTTAGTTGTTTGCTGATGTTACATCCAAGTGAGATTCCAAGTTCTTATTAGTTGTATGTAAGTTGTAAAGTTTACACAGGTGCTGAAGCCTGTCACTTACTCTCAGCCTTCATCACCTCTTTGTCCTTATAGTTTGTATAGTGAATATGGAGATCCACTACTTCCAGAAGTACTAGTGCTGAAAATTTTAAGTAATACGTAATTATGGTTGAATAATAAGTAACAGGTGCTATGGTAGCTAGTAAGAGTCTAAGCTCTTATTGAAATGCCTACTGTTATTTTGATTATACTATTAATTTCCTAAAGAGGTAGCAGCTTGAAAATGTTCCTTCAGGCAAGAGTTCTGCTCCTTTCCTAATCTTTCAGATAGCTAAGGTTCAGGAGTAGCTTAAGGATTTAGGCCAAGGAAGAAAGGGTTTACATATCTTGGATTCACCTTGCTTCTCTTATGGCCCCTGTATCACATCAGAATATATTGTTTTAGTAAGAATGTGGAAAATCATGACAGAACTCCTGGGTTTTTTTTGCATCATGGTATCAAGTGTGAAGAAATGAAAATATGAGATGATGACAAGAGATCTGTCAGAAAGAGAGGACAAGGGGAATTTGCCTCTGAAAACAACTCAGATATCAACAGTGCACAGGAAAAGGCTACTATTGTCTGGCAGCAATGAAAGCAAGCACAGAAACTTTAAAACCAACAACAAAAAAAAAAAAAAAAAAGGGGAAAAAAACCCCTAACCAACCAAAGCAGATGTACGATTCAGCCTTGTGCAAGAGAATGTATAAGTTAATAAAATAAGACATTTGTCTAATACAAACTGGATCAAACTTGCAGGAAAAAAATACCAAAGCAATCTGTTCCTTTAACAACCATGTTGATGTTGCCAATAAACTTCATCACTCATATGAGAAAGTAATCATTACCATTAGAAGCAACTGCTTCCTTTCTGATCTAGTGATCGCTTTTAATGAAGTAATCAATCCTAGACATTACCAACTTTCAAGTGTTTCCTGTCCTTAACACAACTAATTTAGTTTTACTTTCTGAAGATACATTACACCACTTTCCCAAGAAGATACAAAAGTATCTTTTTGGTCCAAGTTCTCTAGGCTTTTTTTATGATTGATGTACTCATTTGCTTCCTCTTGCAGTACAGTTAAACTAGATTTACTGTCTATACAAATGCAGGCCTACAAAATACAAGGCTTCTCTTTATCTTCTCGTGGCTTTGTTAATGTTTCCACCCAGTATTTCTTGTAACTTAATCCTTCTGAATAAGTATGGCAATTACCTTTTAATTTGGAATTATGAACACTCCTTTTTGAACCTCAATAGATGAGGTATATTTTGTTGGGTGATGACTTCATTTGCAGTTGAATTGAAAATTACAACAATTCTCTATTTTTCATGTGTATATAACATAAAAAATTTCATCAGATTTTGCCTAAGGAAACTTTACCCCATTCATCTTGGAAGTCAAAACTGCAGCCTCTAAAAGGAGAATTACCACAACTTATGTGCTTTCTGACAGGTGCTAAGAAAGCAATGAACTGGTTGCATACACTGTTATACCTGCTGCATGGAGGGTAAAATTCTCCCCTGGGTGTGGATAAGAGAGAATGACTTGCATGACACCAGTCACACCTTACAGCAATCCTGGAAGGTGCTCAGGGGAGCAGAGGACTGGAATACAGCTGGAACAAAGATGAAGTTCTAGACAGAGGGAAGGGTCCACCACATCTGCATTCACATGTGGTAACTGGAAACCACTTTAATGCTCCACAGCAACACACATCATGGATTTGGTGCTACTCTGGAGCTGTACATACTGCATAACCTTCCACAGAAATCTTCAGTTCCCCTGGCTGCCTCTTACTTTTCATATTTAAAATAAGTTCCAAATGCTTTACGGTAACTTGCAACATGCAACTATTTTAATCTACAGTAATACTTCTATTTGATAGAGTATCTTTTGTGTTAAACTAAATACTTTGTAACAGGATTTTAATTAGCCAATACATTATACTAACATGTGGGATTCTCAATAAACTGACTAGACAGCAAAGCAACATTCATCTTGCATGTAAGTCTGAAATTCCTTGTAGGGTCCAGAGCAAAGCAGGCACTAGGAAGCAGTAATATATATTACATGAACTTGATAGCCTACCTCCCAGCTAAGTGAACGTTTTTCACTAATGAAAGCATTTTCAAACTCCTATTCATCTCAAAAGAAGTGGAATGTTATTGCTAAATTGTTTTATATTTTGTGGTTTTATTTAGAATACTTAAATGTAAACTTCTTGTAGTGAACCCAAGGCAAAAAAACTCTGCAGAATTACAAATTTCTGCTATCAGAGAAGGGAGGGTATGGAGGCGAAGCAGGCACTTCCCTTTTGTCTGAAAAGGAGTGAGGTCACTGAAGTGACCACAAACCAAAGAACTTTTACTGGAAAAAGAAACCAAGCCATGACATACTTGCACTCTGTCTCCTAGATCTCTCGTTCACCTTCTAGGGGCACATCCAGTGCCACCAGCACGCACAAAAAAGCTCCCATGGGTCTCCTGACAAAGCAGATAGCCACCTGCAAAGGACATCTTTCCAGCTTCCTTCAGAGGTCATTCAAACTACTGTTCTCTTGTCTAACATGGCAGCTTCCATTCTGGGAGACTGAGATTTGTTCCAACTGAGAAATGGGTGAAAGAAAGTTCTTTCTTAAAACTAGTCTTACCATTATGCAAAACAAAATAGATGATGTGAAAAGTAACAGAGCCCTTTGGCACAAGAAGTATTCTACAGCACTGAAAGAGGCTGTTGAATCTTCTGTGTATAAGCAGATAGAGCATTAGGTATACACTTAGGATGCTCAGGTCTGTTGCATAGACATATATTTCCCTTAATAATTTCTGCAGCAATAACATCTCAATATAAACTTTTTTTTTTTACCTTGAAGTCGTTCATCAGTTATTATTTTGTTAGTTTGATTCCAGGTACTGTCAATAAATATTATTTTCTTCAGCCTCGTGCCTTCACTCGTCTTTAGATTTTTTTCTTCTTCAGGTTCTATTTTTGCTCGCTTAAGAAATGGCTCTCTGGAACAGTCATCGTCGTTATCACAAACACCTTTGTTAGTGTACTTTTGGAGGTGGAAAGCAATATCTTTTACTGAAACTGAATTGGGGCCAGGAAATATGAGTGCTATCTAAAGAAAAAGAAGGAAATCCGAGTGTCAATAACATCCAATAAAACACCAGGAATTGTATCAAAGAACAAATTTTCTCCCTGCACCCACAAACATTTAAGTCAGGACAAGATTAAACAGTATCTCTTAAATATTCTTTTGTCTAAAAGAATATAAAGACTGTGTTAAAATAATGAAGAAAGATATTCATTAGACATTTAATAAAATGTAACCCATGCCTCTACCACCAAATCTAATGCTTCTGTAAAAAGAAAAAGCTTTCTTTCAGCCAAGATAGTGGTGTCAGCCCTGAAGAAGTTCAGATTTCACTTGTTATTGCAGTATATGGGGTGGGAAGGCCAGAAAGAATAGTTTCTAATTTCATTCACAAATTTTAGATCAGAAAAAATCATCTCTTCTGCTTTCCTTGATGGATCTTTCCTTGAAGAAAACAACATCTCTATGAGATATGTATATCCTCTTCTTCATGTAGTCAAACAATAATGAGAGCGTTAATTACAACATCAAATGTGTAAGTATTAGATTTCAGATGAATCACACTGTTTAAAATAAGCATATGAATCCAAGTTCATAGCTCCCTTTTTTCAGGCTCTGTGCTGACTGTGATAGACAACAGTTGTATTTTAGCACATTTTTTCTGTAATAGTGAGTGATAAAAATTTTAAGGAAGTTTAAATACTGCAGGTGCATATGATCAGCACAACACTGCTGTTTAACTTGCTAGGTGTTGAATGCTTTTATATGTTCAGGGAAAATATTTCTGATGGTACACAATGAATCAAATTACCCATTATGTAAGGTGGCAAATGCAGGACATTCAAGGTGGTTAGCTGGTCCTACAGTTTCTCTAGGCTACGGAGAACAGAACCACTGTACACTTGTAGGCTCAAGCTTTGACAGAGGGCAAGATGGAGTGATCTGGATTAACAGAATCATGCTTTCTTCCTGCTCCCTCCCAGCAGAGTGCAGTTCCCCTGCAGGGGGGAGTACAGAAGATACCTCTGCATCTCCCCAGCACAAAGCCCAGTTATCTTTAGGAATGTCTTACTTCATGTCTTTTTTCTTTATATTCTGGAATGCAAGGGTATTTATAAATTGTAACATCATCAGGTGCCAGGAGCTTAGCATGAACAGCAGTGCTTTTGCCATCTGTTTCATTTGGGTGTTTAATAATATCAATCTTCAAAGGTAACTACAATAAGGAAACAAAAAACAAGAAAGAAGCAATATTTATGGTCATGTACACAGGTACAAAAACTTACGCAAAATACAGAAAAAACATCCCATAGGCATGTAATTAGACATACTTAACATTTTTTGACCATGTTTTTGTTTTAATAGATTTATAACCACACTTAGAGACAAGGGACAAGAAGCACCTGTTACAACCTCTCAGTTCACAGAAATACCCAAGTATGCAATGAATGCAACTTGGAATGCTGCAGCAGGAGTGTGGTAAAACCTCTAGAAAAAGTATCAACAAGGTACATAAGATGCGGTCTTCATTTGAGCAATATAATGGCCCTAAATGTGAATACTTCTTTGTATTAGGTATTTACCCTATTACAAAAAATGGTAATTTAAATGAAAATAAACCTAAATCTACTAGGTAAAATTTACAAGTATTTCTAAAGAATTTTCAAAACACTTTCAAACTACAGACTGTCTTCAAAATGCATTTTAGTTCCTAGGTGATTTTGCAAAACATCTCAGTCCTCTGTTGTTTTCCCAAGTATTTTAGCTGAAAGGCACTGTGCTTTTTATTCTTTATTTACATTTTAAGAGTGGTTATCTGAATTATACAGCCATGACATTTAGGAAAATTCATGGCATAGTTATGAACAAATCATATTTTCTGTTCACAAAATACTCTGTTTTGGCCAGAGTTCTTAAGAACTGAAGAATGAACATAAGTGTGCTGTAAGAAAATGTCAGAATTATGTGAAAACCGCAATTTACATGAGAAGCTGAGTCACTTCGTACATACATAAATGTTTGAGAGGACTGGCACATTGTCAGCATTTCTACATGTAATTCCTCAAATAAGAACAATAATTTTATCCAACTGTAATTTATTCATGCTTATAGCTGTGTAAAGATGAGCATCCTAAAGAATGAATCAGAAAAGATACGGTCACAGATGGACTGTTGCCTGTACCCAGTAACTGAAAGGCACAAGAATATTGTTAAAAAATCTGTAAGAAATATTAACCTTCACAGTTGGAATTTCTTTGGGAGGGACAGTTTCAACAGGAACAAAGCATGTATAACAGTAAAACATCCTCGAACTACTGCATCGGGGGCATTTTGATCTCCCACTCTTTTTGGCCTTTTCAAGTACTTCCTGCGATGCTAACTGTAATTGTCGAAGTGGAAAATCTTGAAATGATGATGGAGTCTGCAATTCTAGACCTTCCAAGGAGTCAGTATTTCTTTTTGGTCCTTGAGACTTTTCTTCATTTAAAAGTGTAGATGAATTTAAAGACATGGTTAGCTGAAAGAGACAATATGTTGTAGACGTTAAATAAAAATCCAAAATACTATGAATATTATTGGAGATGATTCTGCATGATCCTATTCAGCAAAAAATATGCATCAAAGAAAATATTTCCTATAACAGAATAACAAAATAATCTGATTCAGTTGTTATGGCACTGGTAACACATTGGCAGACATCATTTACCTGGATAATCAGTTCCATTAGCCTTCAGCATGACTACTGACAATGAATTAAATGTCTACAGGGCAGAAATCCCTAAGAGAAAAGTTAGTCATACAAATTCAGATCTCCATCCTGAAATTTATTGTGTGTAGGCGAACCAAACTACCTGAAAGAAAGCCCTGTTGACAGAACATTGTGAAATAAAAGAAATCATCCAGGAGTAAGGCTAGAGGCTGAAAAATTAGCCTCAAGGTCTAAACCCCAGCATTGGTGCTCCATACACCAGATAGTAAGAGCTCACACAGTCTAGACTCATTCTGCAAGTCTGTATGTATTTAGCAATGTGGGTGGATTTTTTTCAGGCTTTCTTCAGGATAGATGTTGTCTCATCCTCTGCAGCTGGCATAAAATTTTTCACTGTGTACTCTAAGTAAGGTACCAGGAACATGACTGTGTGCCCAGGCCTGCTCCAGACAGAAGCAGTGTTGCAGTGTGCAGAGGTGTGTAGTCACAATTTTAGTGAAACCTTTGTGACTGGGTCACTTGGGGTCCTCTCTGGTCTTCAAAGCAGCTCCCAGTCAGAAGCCTGCACAGCCTGCAGCAGTTATAAACTTCCCTTTGCATCTGTGCTGCCTCACTTAAAATGAAAAAAAGTAATTCTTGGTATTTGCTTTCAGTTAATCTAGGTTTACTTTTTCATGTCGGGGATCACACTTGCTAAATGATGCAACAGAACAGTCATGTTTAACTAAAACAAACAATAGTTCCTGATATGTGACCCAAAAGGGTTTAAATAAAACCAAGTGTAATTTAATTGAAGAATAACAAAACCAAAATACTTGGCTACCTTTCCAATAAAAACTTAATCTCAGAAACCTTCGTTGCTATTTTCTGTTACAATTACTCATGCATCCTACGTTACCTTCTCTCCCGCTGACAAGTTAACTTTTGTAAGGTCTGGGCTGTCCATTTAGATAAACACAATCTAACATTCCTACAAATTTTATAGTGCAATTTGCTAAGCAGTTCTGAGACAGAGCTGATACACCCTACGCCTTAGCCGAGCCCCTGCTACTATCAAGTTTCCTCAAGAAGCAAGGAGGGGAGAGGGGCCCTGTGATTTGCCATGCATTCCCCGCCTGCAAACCGATTCTTGCCCGGGTAATGCCTTGTGGCACCGTGGCGTCCACTGCGGCACCCCGAAGCGCTTTTGTTACCCACACCGACAAGGGACACGCTGCTCTAACAGCACAGGCATCCTTTGTGGTCTCAAAATAATAGCTGTTCCCGAAGTTACAGCAGGATACGCACTGTTATGTTTTTCAAAAAAAGACAGCAACAGAGTTCACCCAACCTGAAAGATCCAAATCTCGACTCAGGCGCAGAAATCTAAGACTGTTACTATAACCGCTCCATCTGTATGCAGGTAAAGGGCTGCTGCCGGAGGGCACCCGCCACGTTCCA